TACCTTTTCCGACGCCGTCCGCCAGCCATCTGCTCTTGGAACAATGTTTTTCCGACAAAAAAACTGGTATTTCCGACATCGTTTTGTGTTCGCAAAAAAGGTTTTTTTTTGTAGTGAATGATGGGTTTGGGCTGTTGGGGATGGATGAAGGGGACATGCAATTTTTGGTTTTGCAACAGGTGCAGGAATTGAGAGCTGAAGTTGGGCAGTTGGAATAGAAAATTGTGGAATTGCCGCAAGAGCTTTTGGGTTCAATGTCTCGAGATTTGTTTGATCTTGTGAATAAAGTTAGACAAATAGGAGAGGAGAGTTCGAAGCCAATGGATTTGCTACCGGACAAGATGCTTGCAGATGATATTTTGGTCGGGGATAATGATTTGGCACATTGGAGTGATCACCATCACGAACGTTTATATGGCCAAAAAAAGAGGAGGAAGGGGAGGGGAGGGGAGGAAGGAGATGGAAGGGGAAGGAGGGGAAGGGGAAGAGGAGGAGGAAGGGGAAGGAGGACTGGGTTCTTCAGGTTGGGGGAGAGGGGTTTGGCTCTAGATTTACTCTTTTTCTTCAAAAATTTTCAAAAAATATTTTTTAAAAATAATTTAACTGAAAATTGGATGAAATATTGAGGATTTAGACGGTAGAGGGAAATTGGCGAAAAAAAAGAGTTCTTATCCTTAATTTTCTAAAAAAACATGATAGGGGACAAATGGAAAGTTAGGTACAAGTTCAGGGGGTAAATCACCAGTATACCCTTACTTTCTAATTATTCTTCAATACTGAGTGTGTTGAGCAGTTCTTACTGGAGGATCAAGCCAAGTGGGCAGGCCTCATTTTAGTTTGTTGTTAGCTCTCTTCTACCTGTTTGGGCCAATGGACACTAACAAGTGTACACTCATTAACCAGGAGTGCTGGACCTTCAACACAGTTGTTTATTTATAAGGGATACAACAACTAGAGAAACAATCCATTAACTCTTAGATTAGTGATATTTTTCTTCTTAACGTTGGAAGAAATTACAAATTTCAAACCCCGCTATCCCATTAAATGAAAAAAAAAAAAAAAACTAAAGAAACAACTGAAATCCAAACCAAAGATAGACAGAAAAACAAAACAGTAGTGATCCTGCATGAAAATAAGATAAACCTTCATTTTACACGTCATTCACCATATCGAAGATCCTTAATCAATCTGTCAAAATTATTGTACGATGATCCTCCAACATCAGTCGCTTCTACAGCTTTTTTCTTCCACTGCTTAGCCTTTTCCCTCATCTTCATCCCCTTTTCCCCTTCCAGCATTTCCTTAACAAGTGCTTCAATTTCATCGCGCTTCACATCGGGGCTCACCTCCATTCCAATCTCCCAGTCAGTGCATGCATATCGACAATTCGTGTGTTGCTCAGCAAAGAAAGGCCAGCAAATTACCGGCACGCCTTCGGATACACTTTCAAGAGTAGAGTTCCAGCCAGTGTGTGTTAAAAAAGCCCCAACAGATGGATGAGCTAGCACTTGGTCCTGTAGACACCAGCTTGCTATATAACCCCTATCCTTAATCTCCTCAAAAAATTCATCGGGTAAAATAGCTGAGTCTCCCTCCACCACATCAGGCCTAACAATCCACAAAAATGGGTGCTTGCTATTTGCAAGCCCCCATGCAAATTCTTTCAGATGTTCGTCTGTCATTATAGTTATGCTGCCATAGTTAACATACACCACTGAATTGGGTTTCTTTTTGTCAAGCCATTCTAGGCATTTTGTGTCTTCTTTCCATAAACTTGAGGTAAGTGAATTTGTCAATTTGCTTTCAGGCAAATGGCGGCCAAGCAACTTAAGGGGGACTATGGTGTAAATTTTAGGCGAGATGGTTGATAATACCTCTAACACTTCATGTTCAAATTCGTCAAATGTGTTGAAGATGATTGCAGAAGAGTTCAAACAGTTCTGTGCTTCGGATCCCAAAAAATCAAACATTATGTCGTTGACATCAGTCACTCTAATGAAGGTAGGGATGTCCTTGAGACGAACATTTTTCATGCCTGGGATCCAATCAATTGGTGTATCGAGTGTACCATCGTGCATAAAATTTTCATCTGACATGCAAAGTTAGGTGAAATGTGTGATTAGATACTGTTGGTGAGGTTCGGAACAAAAAAAGAAGCACAAATTTGATTTTGTTCCCTTTAGTAAGTTATGTAGTTTCAATTTTTCACAATTTATCTCATATATAGTTTATTCAATTTTTGCGATTTAATTCATATAATTTATCAATTGTTCCAGTAGGGAATATATAGCTTAAGCTCCATCAAAAATTTTGACTGAAGAAACACGTGAGTGACATAAGTTCGTACCTTTGAATGGAATAATCCCTCGTTTGACAAGTTCACCATACTGCAAGTACGCCATGAAGCCACAAGCAGAGGCAGTCCAAAATTGAACCTCTGGAATGCCTAACTCCTTAGCAGCTTTGCTCCCAAAACCCATGAGACCATCTGTAACAATGCAAGTAACTGGCGGAGCTTCAGAAGATGAGTTATTAAGTTTAATTACCAGCTCCTTAAATGGACCTAGGCAGGTTTTCCTAGTGGAGTCACATAAAGCTGGAATATCTTGGGTTGCATCTTTGTCCGAAGGAGGCAGCCCGTCAGGTATGGTCTCAAACTGGAAGTTGGGTAGGCCCTTGAAGGAGTCCGGTCCTTTCGACCGGACTAAGATCATGTGGTTGAACTCAGTATTGACAAAGGTAATGTGGAAGTCCCTTGAGTGTAGAAGCTTGGCTAATTGCATCATGGGACTAACATGGCCTTGTGAAGGGTAAGGGACAAAAACTGCATGGAGTTTTTTGGATCCTAGTCTTGTTGAGCCCATTTCTGTACTAATCTAAGCAAGACTTTAACTTGGCTCTGAAACCTAGCTTTGCTTTTATATCATCTATAGAAAATATATGGCAACAACCTACTCTTCCGAGGATAGATGGTATTGTGACACCGCTATACCAATCCTTCATAATTTGTGGTTTGTAACGACAGTTCAAGCTTGCCTTTGGGTAGGAGGGTAGGTGCGGTAAGAGAAAATGAGGACTTTTAATCTGGTTTTCAACTGAGAGGATTGAGTTGGTTTTAATCCTTGAACATTTTAGAACTTAATTTACCACAGATAGATGTCTATATGAATTTCCTTGCTGTGGATACGACATTAGAAGAAATTAGAAACACATATTAACATATATATATCTTGACCATGGAGTTTTAGGCCGCAAATAATGTAGTTTTGGTTAGTATTTTATTGCTCATGTATTCTTATTTAAGAGTCATTGAGATAAGCAGATGTATTCTTATTTAAGAGTCATTGAGATAAGCAGAGAGTTTGTAGCTCAAGTGGTTAAGAACAGTTATTCCTCCATTCAAGAATCTTCTCTCTCTTAATGTCCCTTATATCGGAAAAAAATCTCACTGCAGTAAGGTGGGAAAATTTAAGATCATAGTATGTACGTTATTGATGTGTCACTTTCTTTCCCAACGACACCACTATCCAAGAAATCAATGACAACCACATTTTGAGATCCCACTTCTGATTAGTATTTTAGTTCTTGTTTAAGCGCCATTGGGGTTGGGTGGGAAAGCTTTAGACCCTTGGAAGTCTCTTTTGTCTTGGTCTCCTTTCTATTTTTATTCCCTCCCAGAAGCCAGAGTTGGGGCCGGCTCATTAATCATACCATTATTGATACGAAAGATTTGTTGGATGCGCCAATTCTACATCCCCATCAATTGGGTGCATTATTGGTGTGTCAATTTTGCAACGACACCAGCATCCAAGAAATCAATGACAACGACATTTGAAGACATGCGCCAAAAAGGCTAAAAAAAGACTGAGAAAAAGGCTCAAAAAAGACTGAGTGCTATCAATCTCTTTTGTCTTCTTTAGGAACTGAAAACAGTGCCTATTATAGTATTAGAGCATCTACAATGGACTCCCTAAACCGCCTCCTTAGCTAAAATTTAAGGAGGAATTGAAAAAACCCACCTCCAACCATACTCCTTATCCAACTCCTAAAATAGGGAGACCTCTAGGAGCTCCTAAATCTGAGGAGAGAGAAAGTACTCCTAGTGACTCTCTATAATTAAATGCAGGGGTTTGTATTTTTCTAAAACTTAATTAATATGAAGAATAGCGGGGTGTGTGTATAGATGTACTAGAGTTAATTATTAAGTTGGATGACCTTTTTTATCTTTTTACACAATAATAAAACTTACAGCTTAATGATTTAAGTATTGGGATGAACAAAGAGAAGTGCGAGGTTTAAATAGAAAATCTCTAATTAAATGCTTCTATATTTAATATTATTTTAAGCATTTATTTAATGCCAACTATTTTTTTATTATTGCTTTTGTGTCTACGCTTTATTCAAAAATTGAATTAAAATTTATTAAAAACATTTATGACTCTTTAAACTAGGGAGTATGGTTGGAATTGAAATTTTATAGAGAGCTCCTAAAATAGCTTTCTAGTGTTTTTAGCTAAATTTTAACTAAAAAATAGAGAACATGATTGTGGATGCTCTTAGGGACTGATATATATCAGTTGTCTTTTAAAGAGGTCCTCTATTGATATTATGTCACTGATTATAAACCTCCATGCCTAATTTTTGCAATGGGTCTAACATATACCCGATAATATATATCAGTGTCTTTTAAAGGGGTCCTCTATTGATATTATGTCACTGATTATAAACCTCCATGCCTAATTTTTGCAATGGGTCTAACATATACCCAATACATGTTCATGTATTCTATTAAAGAACTACATCCGTGCCTAATGCATTCCCTAGTAACTGAAGGTATATCAGCCCCTAATGGTCATTGCTTTTATTTAATACACATTTATCTCTATTTAGATGCCTTTCAAATTAATGTATTGCCCATAGTATCATACCCATTACAATACTTACACCCACTAAAGGAAAGAACTTGTAAATAAAAATAGGCCAACTTGCTATTGAGGCAATTTAACGAGAATCATCATTTACAAGCAACTCATAAATTAGCACTAGAACAGATACATGATGGAGTGATTAAAGGAAACAAAGCACTGTTGTGCAAATCAAAAAGGGTTGAAAGCTATATATGAGAAATTATAAATGATTAGTGAATCTACAACATTGAAAATAATTACAAGGGTTCCTCGAAGAACCAGTGACTCGCATATGCCATCCAGATATCTACAGCAGGGTCTTCCTCCATTCGCATAAGCCGCCGCTGGTTGTTAAGTTGATGTGTCTCCTGCAGAAAGTAGCGACCATCCGTCCAAAGCTGAGATTCATTTGTTATAACAAGATTCCAAACACAACTCAGTGTGACAATATGCTTCAAAATTCACTTTACAACTAATCAAATTCAAATAGCATCATCCTAAAAAATAACGGGAAATGAAAAAAACTGACAATATTAAACTTGTTCCATTTGCACAAAGCCAACAAATCTTCAAGAAACAAAATTATACAAACAAAAGATTGGAGCCTAATTTAGAATCCTCACATGGCCTGCAAATGCATCTAAATAGAAATTGGAAACTATAAGCCTGCACAAATTATGAACAAAGATTGGAACCTAAAATTCAAAATATAAATTAGAAACTCAAACCTCAATAGCTACTCACTGAAATAGGGTACTGGTGGCGTGAGAGGTCATCTCCTTCAACTTCGGTGGAGTAATCTCCCTTGTATGCTTTTCAATTTCCTCTTCTCTTTTCATCAAATTCAAAACAGCACCTACAAATAGCACCTTATGCCCAAGCCCCAAATCAGATTTCATGGAGTTAATGGAGTTATTTTACTAGAAAGATGCTCCATTACTTGGGAATACCCAAGCCATCAAAGATCACAAAGAAATTTTACATTTGACACATTTCAGTTCTAGTCTATTTCTTCAGATACACTAAGTGTTAAAGGAAAGAAATTGGTTAACTGTGATGATTACCTCAATCTTAGTAATTAGCTAAGATCACGGTAATTACAGCTATTGTGATTCACATACTTAGAATAGATTTCATGTTTACTTAGAATAGAACTTTCATTCTGTATAAATCTTGTACATTACGATCTCAAGGTATCAATACAATATATAGCTTTCTACATTCTTTCATGGTATCAGAGCACCAACATAGGTGACTCTGTCCAGCACGTCTTCCGCTACCAAAAACAAACACACAAACAGTCCACCTAGAAGGAGCATTGTGGATAATGCATCTGGCTCAAGGGGGGTGGACAAGAAAATCTGGAAGCTTATTTGGCATGCAAAAACCCTTCCTAAAATTCGTCACTTTATGTGGAAGGCTATGACCAACTGTCTGGCTACTCAGGCCAGCTTGGCTGGAAGAAGGGTGCCATGCTCCTCAACATGCCCTATATGTGAAGAGCATCCTGAATCGGTTGAACATGCCCTCCTGACTTGTCCTTGGGTTATTGGGGTATGGTTTGCTTGCCCACTGGGGTACATCGGTAGTAGGCAACAGGTAACCTCCCTTCACCAATGGTTTCTTTCCCTCTGCAACATCCCTGACCAGACTAAAGATGAGGTTAACAGATCAATTACTATCTTGTCTTTTGTTATGTGGAGTATCTGGAAAGCGCGTTGTAAGGCCGTGTTTGAGCAGGTGCGTCCAAACCCTTTGGAGGTCTTAATTGGAGCTAGGGAGGCCTGGTCTGAATTTTTGCAAAAGGAGGTTTGCCCAGGGAGTATCAATAGAGTTGGAGGAGATGACAGTATGGTGAACCCTGGTCTATCATGGTGTGCTCCTCCTAACCCCTTTCTTAAGCTGAATGTGGACGCTTCTTGGAAAAAAGATTCAGGTTTAGCTGGTCTTGGTATAATCATCGGGAATCATATGAGGGATTTTAAGTATCATGGTGTGCTCCTCCTAACCCATTTCTTAAGCTGAACGTGGACGCTTCTTGGCAAAAAGATTCAGGTTTAGCTGGTCTTGGTATAATCATCAGGAATCATATGGGGGATTTTAAGTATGGAAAGGTTCTGAAGACCACAACAGGGTCTGTTGAGATTGCTGAAGCTCAGGCAATTATTGAGGGATTGTCCTTTGCGTTGGAAAATGGCATCACTCATGTGTATGTGGAGTCTGATTCAAAGAAGGTTATGGATAATTGTGCTGGAAACATTGCCAAAGGGGACTGGGGTATATACCCCTCGTTATGTCGTATTCAGGATTTGAAGTCCAAATTTTCTGCTGTTCGTTGGGCTTGGATCCCGAGAGAAGCCAATGCGGTTGCGGATGCTGCTGCGGCGATTGCATTTGGAGGGATGGGTACGGAAGTTTGGGTCGATCGACCCCCATCCTCCCTTGTCCATGTTCTGTCCCGAGATGGGCTTCCTTGCCCTCCGTAGGCTTTGTTTTGGTGTTGAGTTTCTGGACCGCTGACACCTGTTGCCATCTGCAATGTGTCTGGTTTCTGTCCTAACTCTTTTTG